TATTGTCTTTTACAGAGTACAAAGCCACTTTCCTCATCTGCTACTCTCTATACCTGACACTTCCTGGGAGTGGAATCTATCCTACAATTACTAACAGATCTAAGAGCAAAGTCAGCTTACACACTAACTTCAGCACACAGACCTGCTAAGTGTCACTGTGAAGGAAGAAACAAATGGTCCTACAATTTTTTCCTTATCACTTTGCAGTGCCAATGATGTTCTGTCATCATCATCCTATGTGCCTGCTAATTTCTAGGGAAAGTAGATTTGATTAGAAAAAAGCAGTATATTGCCGGGCGTGGTGGCTCACGCCTGTAATCCCAGCACTCGGGAGGCTGAGGTGGGAGGATTGTTATGAGTTTGAGACCAGCCTGGGCTACAAAGTGAGCTCAAGGCCAGCCTGAACTGCATAGCGAGACCCCATCTCAAAAAAGACCAAAAAAAAAAAAAAGCCATATATAGGCAAAGAGAAGAGAATGAAGGAGACCAATGATGAGCTTTGGAATCCCCTAGCATAGTGGAGAATACTGTGCAATGATTCTCTGACCATCTGACCATACACAGAGATAACAAATGAAAAAACAGGTAGAGAAGGAAGAGAGAAAAATGAATTAAGGGTTCAATATGTCAAAGAGACTATTTGGGAATGACATTTCTGAAGGAAAATCAAATGAAACTACAGACTACCTGGTGAACCTTATCTCAGGATCAGAGAAATTTGTATTTGCAGAGAAAAAAATGCAGGCAAATCCTAATGAAAACATGTGAAGGAGAGGCATTAAATGGAAGCCATTTCCTTTCTACTTCCTTAAGGATATTCCTGAAGCCTTCAAAATGAATAATAGGACAAGGACCTTACAATTCTAACATCTACAGAACTATCAGGGGTATATCATTCTCTATAGCCTTAAAAGAAAAAGTCTCCCTCTATGGAAGATTAGTGGGTGCAAGACGCACATCTGAAATCCACAGAACCCTCCTAACTCATGGTACTTACTTTTGGAGAAATTAGGAAGCTGGCTAAAATACAAGTAACTAGAAAGCAGAAGGTAAAATTTATATTTCACTTTTCCAATGCTCAGATCTGAAGGCTGTGAAGTGGGATTACCTTCAGTGCTAGGCAGATCAGGTTTGTTCTACTGAATACTGGCAGTATTTCTTTAAAAACCATGCATTGATGTCTCACCCAGGGACAGCAGAGGCCTTCCCTTAAATTTAAACTTGCATTCCAGAGACAGCCAGCTGCTGATCTGACTGTGAAGATAGACCATCCAGAAGGGGACTAACTGCTGATCTCACTGATTTCTCATGTCCAGCCTGGATTCAGAAGAGAGTAAATAGTATCTATGGACACAGAAATTAATTTACTGTATTTTACTAATTTACTGGACAATTAGAGTCAATATATTATTGGGTCAGGTTTGCTCTCCTTGCGAAGAAAATCCTGGAATGACAAAGCAGGTATGTTCAAGTATCCCAACTCCCTCTTATCCCAGCTAGGGATGGCTGTAGCTTGGACCACACACCCAGCTGCAGATTGAGCCCTTGCCCCAAGATGGGCAGCAGCTCACAGAACCAGCAACAGGCCATTTGCTGCAGTATCTAAAGGGAAAACAGACTCAGCACCTCAAGTAAATGAGGCTCAGCACTTCTTGTGTGAGCCTTCCATTTCCTCAGCCAAATAACAGCCAAACTGAAAAAGGGAGGAGGGATGAAGAAGCAAGGTAGAAGAATTAACACACCTGATGGCTAGGATATAGGTGGACCATATCTGAGAAACTTGGAGCTGTGAGGTTAGGTGACCCATGAAGAGCCAAGCTCCAGGGACAGATTTTTTATTATTATTATTTTTAATTGGTATTGGGGATCAAACTCATGACTGCCTGCTTGCAAGGCAGGTGCTTATGCTGCTGGGCTAAACCCCCCAGCCCCAAGGGACAGATGTTTTGTTTCCCCAATCCCAAGAGGAAGGAGGGACTACCCAGTGGCTCCTGCACATACTCAGAAGCAATGTCTTAGATACCTGGAGAGCCGAGCCCTTTCCCAGCATTTTCTTCCCAAAATTGCAATTGCTCAGTCTGTATTACAGATTAGTAACTCGGAAAGCCTAAGACTGTACATGTTAACTCTTTGGACATCACTATTGGGAAACAACTGTCCTCTGTCCAACCAATGCATGGCTCTATTACCCAATGCAAGCATTCAATCCCTGTTCATAAGACTTCATCTTGTAATGCATTTTGAAAACCTAGAGGGGGCTCAAAGGAAGGATACAAAGGTCCAATGTTGTGAGTACTGTTTACACAGTTATAGAGCTAGACCTGGGGAGCGTAGGAGTAACATTCCAGAAGTACCTCTTGGGGTGAGATATAAAGAGAAATCTGGAAGGAAAGAGGGGTCAGAATCAAAACTACAAAGCTCACACAGAAAGATCAATAACTGCTGGCCAGAAATCTCTGCTGGGGCCGGGAAGATAGCTCAGCAGCATAAAGCACTTGCCTGTCAAGCATGAGATCATGAGTTTGATCCCTGGCACGTGTACACACACACACACACACACACACACACACACACACACGAAGAAGAAGAAATGAAAGAAATTTCTGCTGCACCTTTCCTCTCTGGATCATCCATGAGTCTAGGAGATACACACAGCTGGTCACCAACCCAGAAAAACTTCCCTCCTCGCTCCTACTGCCTAGCAGCACCAAGGTCTCCACACTTTATCTTCCAGTATTTTCCCACTCCCAGAGAAGAGCCCTGGAGATCAATGATGAGGTATTGGGTATGAATGATTGCTCCAAAATACTATATACAACTCTACACTGAATCTGAAGGAACTTTCAGAGCACACATTTACCACAGACAACAAAGCAGAAAATGTGTGTATGAGAAGTACAGGAAGAAAGAAAGGAGAAACAGAATGGGGTGGGGCAGAAAGAAAGGAAGTGACAGAGAAGTCGAAATGAGAGGAAAGGAATAGGAGAAAGAGAGATGAACAGTCAGTATAACTAACAGAGATAAAGCTTATGTGAACATATGCACAGTTATTGCAGCACAAATACGAACACAGAGAAAAATGATATGCAAGATCAGAAGTCAGGAAACTTTTTCTGTAATTTGTGAGTCAGTATTTTAGGTTCTGTTAGTCATATAGTCTCTGCGGCAACTATTCAATTCTGTAGTTCTACTGTGAAACCAGTCTCAGAAATAGGCATGGCTGTGTTCTCATATAACATAGACACTAACATATGACTTTCATATAATTTTCACAAGTCATTAGTTTTCTGATTTTTCTCAATTATTTAAAAATATATGCCATTCTTAGGTAGTGTGATATAGACATACAAATAAGCAGTAAAGGCAGACAACTGAGACAGAGCAAGACTGACACACAGAGACAATTCAACCAACATGGTTACTGCCAAACATGGACATAAACACAAACATTCAGGAATATATATAAGTATATTCACACAAGAACTAGTCAACACACAGAAATGGATGGGATCAAAGACAGACTGACATATGACATATATCCAGACATTGAAGTAGAATCCTATGGGGAGATGTGAACCCTACAGAGCGATAGAATACAAAGAGACACAGAAGACAGAAGCAAATGAGTATATACTCAGATAGGGTCATAATACAAATGGACACAACACACATGGCTATTGATGGAACATACAGACACACATATGAGGTATGACCAGAAAATATGAAATTTTTTTATCACACTAAAAGACATAAAGTCCTCTTTTGTGATTATCTTTAGTTGCACAGTCATGGCTGCCTCAAAGTAGTAAATTGACTTAAAACATTTATCTTTCATAATCATTTTGACTTTGGGGAAGAACCAAAGGTCATACACAGTGCTAGATCTACTGATTAAGGTAGATACATACCATGGTTTAATAAGTCTGCCTTTCAGTTGAACAGATCTGAGCAGCAGTAGCAGCATTTAATGTATTTTTCTATCACACCTCTTAAAGACTTTGACAAAAGAGGACTTCTAGAACTGCTTCAGAAAGTGGCATGAATGATGTGCTAAGAATGTTCAAAGAGGGGGAAGTATTCTGAGGAGAATTAATGGCCATACGTCCTTTCTTGTAATGAATCTTTTAAAAATTTAAGTATTCACTGTATATTCTGAACACACCTTGTATACAAGTAGCCAAGGATGGGCACACTGAAAAGTTTCTAGACAGACAACTCTGCAGAGACATAAAACACACAGACCTTCCCACTCTGCACACTAAGACACTAAGACACAACGGCTCACAGAGACACACAGATAATGGACCTAAACAAGCAGGGTCAGATACAACCTAGACTCAGACCAGGACCAAGAAATAGCCACACTTGGTTGCACTACCCTTTGACTGTAATTTATGCCACTGAATTATAAATAAAAATAGTTGGGATAGCAAATTTGGTTATGATTCACCACCACTTAAAAAAGGAGACAGGCACAGGGGCAAGGTAAGGAGACAGCAAATGAGTGAACAAGGACAGGTGTAGATACATTCATCTTTCTCACACATTAAATGTTGCAAGGGGAGGCAAGGAGATCTACAGAAGATAGCATGAGCAGAAGCGAGACCATTGAAAGATACAGACAAAAACTAACGGGGAGATAAAGAGACAAGAGTTTCTCACATACTGGCTGACAAACATCCAGACTTCAGAAGCAGCTGCAAAGATGGTGAGTATGAAGAATAACACATCAGGAACAAGACATGCAACACAACAGAGAACAAACTATACAGTAAGGGAAACCGACAGCTAAAGGAGAACGGGGTTGGCAAGTAGGCCAAAATAATGTAAATCAAACAAAAGTGTTCTAAAGGAGGGAAAACTAAAATTCTAATGAGGAGAGAAGAAGGAAAACATGGGCTATGCGTGAAAGGAAGCAAAAAACAGGACAAGGAAAGGAGCTGCAAGAGTACAGGTAGGCCAAGATTGATAGCATTAGAGGAACGGACAGGCCAACTCACTGTGACGGCAGATCCAGAGAGGTGGGTGGAGGATTCCAGGTGTCTGGGTAGCCGAGCATCCAGTCTGACCATACTTTCACACTGGGGAGCAGTTCCTTCAGATCCGAGATGAAGGAAGACACCTTGATGTCATCTTGGTCATCCTGGTCCTTAGGAGAGGACTGCTGAGCTGCAGAGGCAAAGGGTGAGAACTGGGCCTATGTCTGTTGTGGCCCCTGAGTGAATGAGGCCTGGGGCGCTGGGACGGCAGCAAGCTCTTAGGGAAGGGAGACCAAGTCCACAGGAGAGTTGGGCCCAGAAGCGAGGACAAGTGCCAGCAACTAAGAGGATTCTGAAAAGCAGGACAAAGAGAGAACCAGTGCACTGGGTCTGCCCATGGAGATGGCATTTCTGCTTTACCTGTAGCCTGGCTAAAGTCTCTACCCTGGCCTATAGCTCAGCCTTTTAGCTGTCTTTCAATACAGAGTTACTGTCAAAATTGTATAACCCGAATTTAATCACAAAGAAAGAATACAGAAACTCAAATTATAGGATAAAATAAATGGCTTGTACTCTCTCTTTTTTTTTTTTTTTTGGTAACAGTGATCGAACTCATGACTTCACACTTGCCAGGTAGGCACTTGTATCACTGAGCTAAATCCACAGCCCCATTCTCAAAAATGTCAAGATAGTGAAGCACAAAGAAAAACTGAGAAATCATTCCAGATTAAGGACTAAATATGTATGGCATCTAAATGCAATGTCTGATCCTGGATTGAGTCCCAGAACAGAAAATAAATAAATAAATAAACTTTTTTTTTGTCTTTTTCTTTTTATCGGTACCAGGGATTGAACTCACGACTACCTGCTTGCAAGGCAGGCGCTTATGTCGCTGAGCTAAAAATCCCCAGCCCCTTTACTGTTTTTTGGTTTTTTTTTGTCTCTTTTTTTTTTTTAATAAAGAATATTATTAGATGGGTTCTGGAGTATAACATACTAGTAGAGTGCTTGCCTAGTATGCATGAGACCTTAGGTTCAATCCTCATCACCATATTAAGGAAGACGGGGAAGATTATTATTAGAGCCGGGTGTGGTGATACTTGCCTGTAATCTGAGCACTCTGGGAGGTGGAATCAGGAAAATTGCAAATTTAAACTCAATCTGGACAACTCAGTGAGATTCTGTCTCGAAATAAAAAATTAAAAAAGGTGGGGGGGGAGGGCTGGGGCTGTAGCTCTGTGCAAAGTCCTGGGTTTAGTTCTCAATGCAATCAAGCAATCAATCAATCAATCAACCAACCAACCAATCAGCACAAATTATAAAAATTGAATAAGCCTGTAGATTCAATAATAGTACTTTGTCAATGTTAAGTTCTTGATTTTGATAATTATTAAGAGAATGACCTTGTTATTAGGAAATACAAGCCAGGTGTGGTGGCACATGCACTCAGGAAGCTGAGGCAGGAAGAATGTTGCAAGTTCGAGGCCAACCTGGGCTACATAGTGAGTTCAGGGGCAGCCTGAACTATAGTGTGACCCTCCCCAACCCAGTCAAAAAAAAAAGGAAATACAAAGTGAAGTTTTTTGTTTTTTCTTTTGAGACAAGGTCTCACTACCAGTTCAGGCTGGCCTTGTGCTCACTTTGTAGCCCAGGCTGGTCTCAAACTTCCAATGATTCTCTTGCTTTAGTCTCCTGAGTGCAAGGATTAAGGAGTGGGCTACCACATCCAGCTTAAGAGTTAAATATTTTAAAGAGTACCATATCTGCAACTTAAATTTTTTTTTTTTTTAAATCGGTACCAGGGATCAAACTCATGATCACACACTTGCAAGGCAGGCACTTATGCCGCTGAGCTAAATCCCCAGCCCCCTGCAACTTAAAATTAAATGGCTCAGACAACAAGAAGTATGTGTGTGTGTATGTATGTGTGTGTGTGTGGTGTGTGTAAAGGGAGAACTTAAAGCCACGTGGTAAAATATTAACTACCATGAAGAATTTGGATGAAGGTTCGAAAATCTTTGCATCATTCTTGCAACTATTCTATAAGTCTGCAACTGCTTCAAAATAAGAAGTTGCTCCTCCCTAATCCTGAACAAAAGCCCCATAGGCTGGAAGCTGGTGCCAGCATGATGGAAAGGTCTTGCTACTTGCCAGCACTGAATGTAGGAGCAGAGAAAACAGTAATTCTCAGCTCTATCTTATACAGCTACAACAATTAGGCTTACAATTCTAAGGGTATCTTAAAAGATAAGACATGGTACCTCAACTCAAGGGCTAAAATGTGTCTGCTCTGGTGCAGTGAGTCTCTCAAGACTGCTGACCCACAGAGGTTACAGCACCCACCAGATACTGAAAAGGCACACAGAAATAAAGGTGATAAAACAAAACATCAATTCTGAACAAAAAGTGAAACTCATTTGATCCCTAGTATCACCAAAAAAAAAAAAAAAAAGCAAAAAAGGCAAACAATGCCCCAAAATATAAATGGGAAATTCGTTTATCTTTTGTCTTAAAAGATGCAGCAGCTCTTAAGTATAGCTCCTAGCTACTAAAGGAGGAAAGGAGGGAACTGATCCACAAGGAGTACAGAGGGCCTTAGACATCATCAGACTGCAGACAGAGGGGACTAGGTAAGGTGGCAAAAGGAAGAGGTGGATAATAGAAGGAAGACTGGGAATTACAGAAAGAAGACACTGAGAAGGTAACTCAGCACTCTGGCTCTTCTTGGATAGGGCTGGACAGCTGGAAAACATGCCAGCTAAGTGCCCATCTTGCTTACCTTTGGCAGACTCCTGAAGTAGGCAGGTGCAGCGCTGCACCAGGAGAGAAAACATGGCAAGGCCAAGAGCTGCAGCTTGCTCCTGGATCACAGAGCGACACTCCTCTGAAAAGCAATCTAAGGAGAGGCAAAGAAATACTGGTCAGTGACCTGGAGGCTAGGGGGTACTTCCTTTCATTAGGACTGGTAGTTCCTTAGCTGTATTTCTAAACTTCCTTTCATTATCTCCTTATGGGTAGGAACATTCCCTATCTAAAAGTTGGATTACAAAGCAATGGAAGATAATAGAAGTGAAGTGCTTACCAGCATGCCCATTATAAGGACAAGTACTTACGAACATTCATTCATAAGCACCACCTATGTAAGTTTTGCAACACTTCCCCAGGACCTATTACTTCAAGCTGGGTAATATGAACTGGAGCTGCAAGATCTCTGCCTCCATTGGCTACTGATAATGTAAAGGTATAGTAACAAGAATTTAGTTCACAATCCCAGTCTCTAATGCAGAGCCAGCAGAAGCACAATCACCAAATTTAAAAATTACCTTCCAGAAAAAAAGAAGGAAGAAAAAGAAGATGAGGAGGAGGAGAAGGAGGGGAGGAGGAAAACTTCTAAATCACCAATCTTTCATGTCTACCTCCTCTATGTTCCTCCTTTTAAGACAATACACAAGACACTGAATCTATTTTTTACTGAATGAGATTCTTTTACATATAACAATATTTGGCACATAATACTTATGTACTTATTCAGTGCTTTTATATTAATTTTTTCCTATAGTTGAAAAACAAACCTGGTTTCCAGTACCAGCACACCCTTTCCCTAGTTTTTCAGCCTAGCTAACTTCTTTCTGGCTACAGGTCACTGAAAAGAACATTTTTCTTGGTAGGCAGAGTTAGTCTTTGGTGGGGCTTGTAACATACTCTCATATCTCTGTCTATACCTACTTATTGTGAGGGCCCTCCTCAATCTGTGCTTCAGCTGCCCCAACAGCATTTCATACAGACTGGAGAAGAGGATCTGGTGAAAAGAGAAGGCAGCAGTTCAACCTGTAGTCTCAGAAGAGGAGACATCCAACACCTACCCACAGGAGATAAACAACAGAGACCACCAAGTTCACTAGCTCTGACAGCACCTAATCTGTTAATTCCCTTTGTAACACAGGAGAACTCAGAATCTCCAAGAGTTAAAGGTATAATTAGCTATAAGTTTGATCTCGGTCCCTGCCTGCATTTTAACTTCTGTCAAGCCTGCTAATCTTGTCAAAGGGCCTAATTAAATTTGCTACTTAAGGAGATGCTACACAATCACAGCTATTCCAAAGAGTTTTTGCCACAGAAGCAGGTATGACTGAAGCACACAAAGCCTGCTCCAAACTGCTTTCAAAGTCCTTGAAGAACAGAATGCTGCTCTGAAGGACCCAAAATACAAATAACAGTGGACCAATACTTCCATGTGGCTTTCCGGCCACCATTCCAAATGCCCACTAGTACAAAATGTTACCCTGTCACTTTCCAAGTCAACTGTGGTAGGCTGTAAGAATTCATAACATTTTATGAATTAGAACAGATCATAGCTCTCAGTTTTCTCCAGAGGCCATAAAGCTCACTAAACAAAAAGTAAACAAGCATCCAAGAATGAAGAGAGAGGACAAGAGCATGGAAGGGAAGTCACATAACCTGTCCCAAAAAGGTCTGCCAACTTCTCTCCCTCTACCTGCCATAGGCACCACTACTGTCAGTGCCAACCCAGCTTGGTCCAGACTGCTGCCAAACACTGCCAGCAGCCTGCCTCTAATTAGCAACAAAGCCTGCAATTAAAGGAATAAATTCAGGAAAGAAGATAGGATATACCGAGGGAAGGCTACACCCTGAGTAACCCTCATTCAACTGGGCAGATTAGACAGAAGTTACCTGTACACAGAAGGCAAGAAGGAATGAGGCAGATATCTTTTCCCCAAGAGACACTCAACACCCTGTGTAACAGTGAGATCTGGAAGAAGCAGGGTACTTTCACCACGCCCATTTCTATTCTTATGATGAACAGTAATCTCAGACTAGACTGTCTCTCGGAGTTCAAGATGAGGGACTAGGACTCAAGGGGGAGAAAGAACTGCTTAAGGGCAGCATCTGTAGCCTCTGGGCATTCCAGGCTGGCTCATATAAGGTACGCTACCAAGCAGGATAGCAACACCAGGAATCTTTTTGATGTATTGCCTAGGAGGGCTCAACTACCTCTTAGAGTAGCTACTGGAAGCCACCTTCATGACTATTCATGGTTAGTACTTTCTAGGAGGCCTGTTTGGTTCCATGTCTCGTGGGTATGACATCATACACTGAGTATTTATGACATGTTAGATACTGTGAAGAACATAGCTACAAATAAATTATGGCCTTTGCAACTGTAGGATCCTTTAATAGGCTGAAGAGAAATCCTTATTTACCCAAGTAACCATGGTAACTTGGAGCCGGTGTATCAACTGATTAACACGTTACTTTTTGGTATTGCCAAAGGATGCTCTTGGTCTCATAGGCTTCTGTAGGGCATAAGACACCCTCCTTGAGTGTATTTACCCTTTTATAAATGGGCTGAAAAACAGCACCTAGCCTCCCAGAGTCCACCCAATTTGAGGGCAGATTTAAGAAATGGACCCTAGTCTGATGAACACTATGATGTGGGGTGGGGAGGAAAAGGCATTGTTTGCCTTGGTATTTGCCAAGGTTCTTCTGGCTTTCTGTCAGATAGCTGGAACCTAACAGGAGCTGAAGAACTCATTAACATTGTAAAATAGCCTTTCCCCTTCTTTCCAAAAGCAGGCTTGCTCAAGGGTTTGGCTGGGGGAGGATGGCCAAGGAAGGTGAGTTTGGGCCAAAGAAGTCAGACAGAAATATTTCTTCCTACAAAGTCACGTGAAGCAATTGGTTATACCTGTGTGCAAGTGACCACAGCTTCCAGTATTCCTGTGGCCAAATACCTGCTCAAGCAGAAATATGCTCATTCCTATGTAACAGGGAAACTTTCTCATTTTCCTGAGAACATATTCATGGAAAACATAAACCAACTGTCGTCAAAGTTGTATGAAATCAGGAAATGAAGCGGCCAGGAGAAGGCTGCCATGTGGCCGGATGTTATGTATTTCTAATTAGTGCTATACATCTTTCAACAGCAAGTGTCCTTCTGCTGGGAAACACAACACACTGCCCTTGTTATTGTAACTGTCAGAGAAGTGCTTAAACAGATAATCTCCAGGAAAAGTGATAAACACGTCCCCTCTCCCACCAGTGTGTGTGCAATGGTGCTGCCAAAGCAAAGCTGTGCCTGACGGTTCCAGGATGGCAAAGCATCCTCCTGCAGGAAATGGGAGTGAGGCAGGAGGGGCAGAGAGGGAAGAGGGAGGGGAAGAGAGGCAGGACCACCTGCCTGGACCTCTAAGTCTAGCCAAGAGACAATGATTCAGAACCACTGTTTCTAATCAGTTCCTAAAAGAGGGTACTATGTTTTGAAAGAGAGAGAGAATCAGAGAAAATTCATGCCAGTGTTTAGATGTCACAAAAAAAATCTGGCAACAATGGAACTAGCAGAGTTCCCTTGGTGTACACAGTCAGCTTCCTGGCAAGAGGATGAAAAGAATAATGAAGGGATGACACAGATAAATAACATATAATTCTAGTACCTTGAAGCAATGGGAGAGATTTAGAGAATACCAGGATCTACTAGCCATTCTAGCATTAAAAACTATCTGCATGGCTGCTTCACTAATAGCTGGAGAAAAATACAGGCAAGACCACTTACTCACCAGTTCCTCTCTACTACTACTCTCCCTCTACTCTCAAAGAGAGGAAATGAATGGTCAGTCACTTCCAAACCAACACCACCTGGAGGCCATTTGTTAGCTCTTATCTTTCAGACCTAAGCCTGCTTTTCTCATGAGTCAGTCACCAGTCAGATGTAGAGCTGGCACAATTCCTTAGCAGCCCACCCAAAACTCCTTGTCTACAGGAAGTGGGCAGTAAAAGGATCTCTTTTGGTTGTTGCTGCTTGAGCTAGAGTGCCCTATGGCAGCTGCCGGTGGAAAAGGAGGTGGAAGGAGGCACTCACTAAACTGAAACCAAAGAAGAAAAAATTTTCAGAGCAGAAGCAGAGATATCCATGCCCTCAGGATAGCATTTTACTTCCTGAGGAACTATGTGAATGTGTTAGAATAAAGCACCCCTATGCCCAAGCAAAATATTCACACACAATGGTGGAACAGTTAGACTGACTGAATATAAGGCAAACCATGATATTACCTGAACAGGATACAGCCAAGACAAGACAGAGGAATGTGAAAAATAACATTTCCTTCTTAAAAACCTTTGTGTCATACCTGCTGAACCCTTTGGATCTCCCAGGACTGTAAAACTCTGTTTTTTTCTAGAGCTCTTCTGAAAGTGGTGAGATGTAAAGGGCACAGAAAAAAAGTGACCTCTCCCATTAATTCCTAAAACACTTATTCTGCTGTCAATTATAGAAGACAAAGGAAAACAGGATCCTGTCTTGAGAAAAAAATAATCTAATAAGCAAAACAAGAATATATATGTACCCAATAAATATAATTCAAGAAAATGTGTTACATGCCATAAGGAAGATAGGAGCAAGATGCTTTCTGCTCCCAGAGGGAAAAGAATTCATTTCAGCTAGTATCTATCCAAGAAGGTTTCATGAAAGAAATCTTTTCTGAGCCTGGCTGCAAAAGGTGAACAATGACAAAATTGGTGGATGTAGGAGGGACTGCAAGTCACAACATGCATGTGTACAGAGCAGTAATTCTGCAAATTCAGTGCAGGATCTTCAGTGCTAAACAAGGAACTCCAACTTGACTCATTAGATAGTAAGGAGACACTCAATGTTTCTGAATGAAGTAACAGTATTTTATAAGTATTAATCTAATTAAAGTATTTAAAAACAGATTAGGGTATCTGGAAAAAAGTAACAGGGAGGGAGATCAGTTGGAAAGCTAAGAGGGCATGAACTTGTTTTAATCAAGAAAAATTATATGTGGAGCACTTCATAAAAAGAAGGGTACAAATATGGAAAACATTGCATAAAGAGGATAAGAGAAGACAGAGGTTATGTTG